GTTGCACCCCTACTGATAGGGTCTAATATTTTCACATTTAAAATTTTTTAAAAATAATGAATGGATAAAAGAAAGATTTGAAACTAGAGAGACCAAAAGAAAACCTAAAACAAAACAACTTTATCACAAATTTCATAGCTCAACTTCACTAATTGGTTGATTACCTAATATAAACAGGCTTCTTTTTGGGAACAAGTGACGTCGCCCCCTGCTGCTCATTAGACAAAATTAGTTATACTATACATCAGCATTTCGACTTTTCTGACATGGAAGCTACATCCATCTTTTATATACAGCCTGTGGTTTCCATATTTATTCTGAACCTGGAATTTATAATCTGTGTAATATAAACTATGGTGCAAGTTGTCAAAATTGTCATGCAAACGGTATTTTAAGACTTAGATTATACATGTGTCTGTGCTTATCATACATGCTAATGCCAGAGTTTTAACTCAAATGCAGTTTTATAGTTACATGTTTATTTAGAAAACTAGTGTTAGATTTTACATTGTTAAGTTTGAAATGTCCCAAAAAAGTATAAGTATTCTCAACAACTTGAAACAATGACAGCTTTTTCACAAGACAGTTAATTATATACCACAACCTTGAGAAATTACCAGAAAATTCTACAACACCAAGGTGACTTGTTAAAACAATCTAATTTTGTTTTCAATTTGGTTCACATTAGATGTTTATATTCTCTCTTTTATGCTGTCCTAAAAATAAATGCTGGCACCAACACTTGCAGTAAAACATAAGTGTTCATCCAATAAATTTCCTTCTGTCCAACCAAAAAAGAAAGAATGTCACAACAGAAAAATAAAGTAAAGGGAAAATGTTTACCTGGCTCAATGACCTTTCCAGGTGGGTATTTAACAAGCAACTGACGTCCGTCGAGGTGTGTGACTGTGAACTGGAAGCCGCACAGAGCCTCAACCAGGCCGATACGATGAACCATGTGAAGATCGCTGCCATCACGGCGGAAATCCTATTTGAGATATAAAACCCATATTTGTTGCTTAGGTTGATTACATCAAATCGCTTGGATAAATGTAGACTTTATTCATTATCCAAGTTATTCTATTATTAAAAACAGTTTTGTAATCAATAGGAGCTGTCTGTTTTGGGGTACCTCATGTTCTTTCTCTTGCAGCACCAGAACTATATCCCCTGGTTCCATGCCTGGTGCTTGGTCAGCTTCTCCAGTGAATGTGATCTTCTGTCCATGTCTCATGCCTTTGTCCACGTGAACTTCAAGAACCTTAGTCTCCTTACAGACTTTATGACCCTCACACTTTCTGCAGCGGTCCTTTTCATTTATCACTTCACCTGGACAACAACCACACACACAGAATAGAGGACCTCAGAGAGCTGTTTTGCTGCGGTTTGTACATTAACTTTGTTTTTAATGTCAGTTTGCAGGTGTGTGGGGATACATTACCCTCCCCATTGCAATCTGTGCAGACTGACTGCATCTGCTGAACCATTCCTGGGGCCAGCTGTCTAATCATGATTCTCATGCCCCGTCCTCTGCATGCTACACACTTCTGCACAGCTCCTGCCTTACCACCCTGACTAAAAGCCAACAGTAAAGTATCAGCATTATTGTCCATTTAGAACAACTGCAAATCATTCAGACAGCCTTAAAACTACAAATCAATATAATTTTAACAAAAAAGAAACTCACCCATTACAGGCACTACACAGCACATTCTTACTGAGCTGCAGTTTTGTGGTTTTACCATTGTACAAGTCTTCAAGTGAAACCCTGTAACAACACGATTTGTAAGTACACATACTGCATTACATATGCACCATCCACTGAAGCATCCATCAAACAACAACACTTACTTCAGCGGGTGTACCATATCATCTCCTCTCCTCCTGCCTCCATTGCGTCCTCTTCCTTGTCCCCCCATGAACCCAAACAGTCCTCCACCAAAAATGTGAGAGAAGATATCCTCCATGCCAGGTCCTCCTCCTCCTCCCTCCCGTAAGCCTTGCTCTCCATAGCGGTCATAAAGCTCCTTTTTTTCTGGGTTTGTCAATACCTCATATGCAAAACTTATCTCTTTAAACTAGAAAACGAACAAAGCACAATCAGACAGGTTGAACTGGTGCATGAAGAAAAGAAATTCAGTGCACCTCAACAACAGTTCCCTTTTACAAAGCACAAAGAACTTAAAAGAGGCTTTAAGATTTGTGTCATAGAGAAATAAATATAATTTTAAAAAGCATTCTTCTCTAGTGGAAAGCCTGTGTCACATTTTGTACTCTGATCTGTGCCTAGGAGTAATCCTCAAAGCACTGGGCTATGTGATCATTATAAATGGAGGCGACATCATTTCTGCATGCCCAATTGTTGATCAACTGAGCATCCTTTGGTGCTGTTGCTAACACTACTGTTTTGGTGCATCATACCTTGTCTCCAGCTTCAGGGTTCTTGTCAGGGTGATACTCTTTGGCCAATTTGCGGTAGGCCTGTAATAAACCAAAAAAAAAAAATCAGCGTGAAGAAAGCTGGGTCACAGACCTAAGCTCATGTGCCTGTAGCAAGACGCTTCAATTAGCTTGCTGTCTAAAACATCAGGACATAGTCAAGATCATGGTTGCATGTAACATGTCAGAAACTCAACAACACTGCTTCCAAATATTAACAGCTTTTGACTTGCCAGCGTTATTTTGAATCCCGATAGACGGAAATACAAGGTCTTTATTTCGAGACAAGAATAAGATGAATACACAAGCTGTATAAGTTGTGTTATGTCGGGTTTTGCAGAGGACGCAGCAGTTGTCAAATATGAGCCATTAGCATCTGCTTGATGTTTGAATGGATTTTAAAGGGAATAACGCCTGGACGTTGGCTAATGTAGCTGCACGAATGGTGGCATAAACGTTAGCTTGTTGTTGTTATCATTACACTTGTGACCATCACACATGTTGTTTATAGCGTTGCTTAACATCAATACTGATAAGCATGATCAAGTATTACACTGGGGTTGGCAGTATATTAAGCTAAGTGTCTATTCAGCGAGTGTTGTTTCGAGTTGGTGGGGACTATTTGCTGGAATTTAGCATTAGTAGCCGGCAAGCTATCACACTCGTGTTTACCAGTGTTATCTCTGTTTTTAAAGAGACTAACTTAATCCTTATCACGTATTTAGAAACAATTATAAGTAATCATTCAATGCCAATGTGTCGCTTAAATTATGTTTAAAAGTCCGCTGATGTATCCCGCTGTTATCCAGCTCATTTTACTGGCTAAGCTAGCTAAACATCCATTAGCTTGTTTCTAGGCCACATTTGCTCTGGTGACCTCTCTTCCTCTTTTTTCAATTTTGTTTGAACTCCAAGACATTCATTTCACTGTAACATTTACGTACCTTTTTAAGTTCATTTTCAGACGCAGACGGCGAAACTCCGAGGATGTCGTACAATTTAGTATCCACAACGCCCGACATGACGCTAACCGGCAACTACAGAGAGACCTTCTCCGGAGGAGGTTCAGCTGTGCGACGATACGCGGATCTACCGGCTGGGACTGTCCGGACTTTTGCCAGAAACAGCACAGACAAACACCCCCTGACAAAAAGATGCTGAAACATGGCACATACTTATTATTCCAAAACAAATACATTTTCGTTTAATTTGTATGATATACGTGTAATTAATGACCGATTTTGTGTGCGTTTACCAAAAAGTGACCACTCGAAACTTTATTGTATTTAGTGCTAGAAAATACATTAGGGACTGTGTTAATCTGTTACAAAACATTGTTTAAATTATGAAAGTCACACTTTCCACATTGGTAATCTGGTTAAAAATATGTCCCAGAAGATACATTTTCCAGACTTATTATATGTTATGGTTATTTTCTTTTAGAACTTTGAGTGTACCATAATACCACCATGCTCAACAGCTGTAAGCCCTGCAGTCTTTATTTAAGCTGAGCCTATGCTTAATAGCTGTTAGGCTGACACAACATAAATGTAATTTTAACAAGATCACTGATCAAATATCAGTCAGTGTGAAGATTTTCTATCCTTTCATGCATTTTCTTCTGCTTTTACTAGACTTAAATCTTAATAACTACAAGTGGATCTAAGCCTGATAACGTTTTCTTCTTCTTCTTCTTTTAAAAAAGAAGCCAGTAAACAAGCAACGGAAGCCCAGACTATATATACAAGAAACCACAAGCAAAAAGAACTTATGGAGCATACTGCACAAAGGAACCGAAAACATGAGCTTTGGCACAGGAATGACTACCTGCACAACACAAGAAGGAAAGCATAACACATGCTGACCAAGTAGTCTTGCATTTGACACAATGCAGACTATTCCTCTCCTTTCTGCTGTATATTTATCTCATTCTATATGCATACATAAACCAGTCCATGCAATGGTATGATAAATATAAAAGAAACTGAGTTACTAGACAGATTGGTGTGCAGCATATTTCCTCAACCGTGGCTTTTAAATTGCCTTAACAGCAGAATAAAGAAAGCTTGTCTAAGAGTAACTCGTGTATTCATAATAAACTAAAGCAAAACTAAACATTTTTCAGCAATAAAACCTAAACTGAAACAAGTGACTCCACCCTGTGATACAGCTCCACGGTGCAGCTTAAGACAAAATATTAATGAATATTCAGACCCCTAACCCTACACAGTAGGAATTCATGTGCGGGTAGAACAGGGACATGTTCAGGTGTGAGTTTTTGTAAAAAAAAAAAAAAAAAAAAAAATCAAGCCGTAAACATAAAGACAGTCCCTGCACTTGTCGCTTACTTTACGTGCACAACTAAATCATTTTCCTGCAATATTAAATAAATGCTCATGTATGCATTATTGCATTCTTCACCCCAGTTTTAAACTTAAAGTGTTTATTTTCATAAAGAAAAAAAAATGTTTGAGAGCATGGATGTGAATGTTAAATGTTGCTGCAGTGCTTGATGACAGCAGATAAATAAGGACTTACTGGATGTTTACACAGTTGATGGACAGCCGAACTTTTTGATTACGTTTAGGTTTTAGGTAGTCGCCATTTTGATTTCCAAACCTGACTATTTTTATGTTATTTTTTCCCATTTGGTCCTTGGACTCCTGAATAATAATTTACACCGTGTCAACACAGCCCTCCCAGCAGCAGCAGAGCTAGCCGCCGAGTAACACGGCTGTGTAAATGACATTGCAGCCGGTGGAAAGGGTAGTATCGTTAAGCTAACAGCGCAGCCCTGAATAGGCTGCAATGGGCCTCTGAGTGACCTGACAACCAAAGTCGCCGAGTTGCAGTTCAGCTTCCAGATGTCCACAGATTAAACAATGGCTCAAAGGTAACGGTGGTATGTCTTTTTGGGAGGTAAACATGTGTAGCCCAACGTAAAGCCTGTGCAAGCGATCAGAAGACGGTGACTTCAAGCTAGGTCTGAATCAGGAGCACGTCGTCCGACCACCTAGCTCACCAGCGGCGATAAATACTGACCTATATTAGCTTTAATCTGAATGTGGTTTGTCTCCAGTAAGACATAATTTTTTTGGAGGGGGGGCGGTGGGGGGGTTGTTAGCAACTCGACTGTGGCACTGCTTGCTTTGCTAGCGGGCTGCTTTACGATCTGCAGTCAAGGTAAGTGAAAGTGGTTAAGGGAGACACAGTGATAAAGGAGATAAGTTAACGTGGAGTTAAATGCACGGATTCGCTATCTAACACGGCTCCACGCTGACATGACTGTTACCCTGTTATAACTAAAATCCGCTAACAGATCAAAGTAACCGTTTACAGCTGCTCTTAGGACGCCTTGACAGGCCTGTCACGGTTATGCTGTTGTATTAAATTTTAAAATCCACAGATGGCAATGACGAATCTGTAAACCCAGATTCCCGAGACACCTGTTTATCCCCTGCGTGTTTGTTCAAGGGATGTGTACACAAGGGTGGCGGACTCCGACACCGTTCAATGTTATGCAACTACTTTTAATGGTCTCTAGATATGTGTAAGTTATTTCCAGCCATATTTTGTGCTGTAAAACGATACGCTACCCTCTTGTTTTCTCGCGTTGACGAGAGTTTGTTTGTAAACATGTGTTTGCATCTAAGAGATAATGGACTCATGATGGATGCTTCGTACAAAGTGTGGTCTGATTTGGTTTAGTTTGTGGGGTGGGGGTGGCTTTAGGTGAATATTTAAAGCCTTAACAAAGCAGGCAACATTTCCTGCCTCTTACAATATTCAGCTGTCATCACCACCACACCTAGACTCAAGTTTGCTAGCTCCTAGAAACCTCCCATACTCATGCATTTATGTCACCAAAGGGTCAGTGTGTGCATCTTTCTTATCTCCAGTCATTCTTTGCTGATGCAAGTGCATGTGTGAGTCCCTTCCCTAAGCAAAGTGGTTAATGTTAATACACGAATGAGCAGCAGTAACTCAATTACAGATGCATTGCTTCCTGTTCTTTCCAGAGAGGAGTCCAAGCCTCTTAGCCTGAGTTCAGCCCTTCATCTAGCTCTGAAGAAGGCAGAGGCGATATTACCGTAAATGATTCTCCAACATTTGTTGTTCATTTTGTTGCTTCCCTTTTTTGGGTTGAAGGCAACTCTGCTGGGTTGGTGCGTCTGGTGTTTAGAATGAGTAAAGTGGGTGTGTTTCCACCTTCGCTATACTCAAATGAATATTGTCTCTGATGTACAGGTTGCACAGTGTCTGTGAGGCAAATGGCTCTTTAGCAAGATCCAACTGAGTATACTTCTCCTTGTCCAAATGTAAGCATTCATAAATAAATTCAACTAAATCAAAAATTAACTTTTGCATGCATTCTACACCATCCTGTTGCTTATCTCTGCACCACATCCTCTTTTGCTCAACAGCAGAGTGTATGCTACGGTGACATCAGTCATGTTTTGGAAGTTTGATTTACACACATCTTCTCATCTGGAGGCTTTACTGGACAAGGAGGATGTCACTCTCGCTGAGCTCATGGATGAGGAGGATGTGCTGCAGGAGTGCAAGGCCCAAAACAGGAGGTCTGTTTAATGTCTACTTTGGTGTAGCTGCAAATTATTACCACATTTCGCATAATCAATCACCTTTGCTGTAATGCTTACTAAATTAATAAGTTGTGCTTCTTATGTCACCGTTGTGGTTTTGCAGGCTTCTTGTGTTCTTGTGCCAAGACCAGAGCATGCAGGAGCTGGTTCGACTGATTACTACAGAGCCTCCTACTGGTGTAGAGGAGACAAAGCGCTTCAAGTAGGTGCTGTTGTGTAGAATATTCTAATGTAGTTTATTATATTCAGGGTAAAAATATATTCCTGGTGCTGCACTACATTACATCCGTTACCAGCCACTTTGTAGATGAGCCTGAATTTTAAGAGGATTCAGATTTGCTTAAACAATGTTTTTAATCCGAATAAAAGAACACAAATGATTCCCTTAAATTAGCAAAACTATTTAATTGCCCGGTTGCCAGCAAACCAATGAAAGTCCTGTCCAGATAATTTTATCTTGTTTTGTTTTTTCTTTGAAGTGGAAAATATAGCAATAATTTTGTTCCTCCATCATTTTACTGCAATATATGTCCATGCCATTTACAACAGGTATCCAAATATAGCATGTGAGCTGCTGACAAGTGATGTGGGAGTGATCAATGATAAGCTGGGTAATGAGGAACCACTGCTGGAAAGCGTGTATGCCTTCCTGGAGCAGCCATCCCCACTTAACCCCCTCCTGGCGTCCTTCTTTAGCAAAACTATTGGGAACCTCATCACACGGAAGACTGAGCAGGTAACACACATGTACACCGCTACATCAAAAGGGCATGCTTAGTAAAGATGATGGTTACATTTTTGTGATGTTGTTTTCATTTAATAAGTCTGAGGCAAGTTAATGGAAAATACTCACAAAAAATGTACTTTCACCCAAAATTGTTTTAAAATTCTGTTTCTTTTGAGGTGCCAACATGCATGGTTTGTTTTACCCTTTTAGTGTCCGAGTTGATGATTTTAGTGTAAGATTGCTTGTTTATGAAGTAACACATAATCAAAACTGTCCCGTATCAGAAGGGAATTATTTTAGTGAACCATTATTGTCCAAAACAACTCAACTCAAAAATGAATGGCTGGACTGCAGCTTATATAGTCTTCCATTTAAGGCTAACATTCCTGCTTGTATTAAGCCAACTAAAACATAAAGAAAGCTTATTACCTTTACATTTCCTTTGCTCTGAACTCTGTATATATTTGTGTGTGTGAATAGAAGCTCATTTGATTCTGATGTGGGGTTTCAGATTTTGTAGAGTAGCTTTTTAAGACTTTAAGTAAGGCAACTATCTCACCTATCTCATGACCATAAGGGACAGTCACTGGGGCAGGGGACCCAGCTGTCACCGGGTGAAGCAGGGTACAACCTGAACAGCAGCTCATGATGAATTGAATCATAATTGAACTGAATCTGAATCAGAATACTTGAAATTATGTGGTTATAGTTGCTCCAACGCATTAAGAACAGTAACAAATTTAATTAAACATTACAATA